ATAACGAGTGCTCTTTTCAATAGTATATTTTGTTTTTGATTTCCCTATAGATACTGCATAGTGGTCTAATAAAAATTTTAGAAAGATTTGGGTTCCTATTGATATTTGAGTAAGCTATCGATTTCTTTTTCTATAGGTTATAGATTTTCGAAAAAAACTCTTGTATTCGAATTTCGATCTGAAACTTTGTGCAAAGAGAAGACTCAACTAGACTAACTTCCTTAAAAATTTCAAAAGTTTTGAATAAAATCTCTTTGAGATATGAAACTTTCAAAAAATGCACGTTGTATACATTATCCATGAGTAGGGATCTATACCTTGAAAGTCTCATATTTCGAAGAGATCTTGTTCGAAACTTCTGAATTTTTTTATAGAAATTAGTCTAGTTGACTTCTCTATATGCGTAAAATTTCAGATCGAAATTCGAACATATGGGTTTTTCGAAAACGTGAGATCTCTTGAAAAAAATTCGATAGCTTAGTTAAATCTCAATAGGAATTTAAATCATTTTAGATTCAGCAATATGGTCCAGTAGAGTTTAACATATTAGTAAAAAAATTTAGCATAATATCTTAACTCCTAACCTCAATAGCTGCTAAAGCACTAGCTAAGACTGTTGGTGGCATTGATGTTGTAAAAATAAAGCCTGAACCATAACTTCGAACAAAATCAGTCATTTTAGCACTACCGGCAATATAACCACCAATACTTCCAAATGCCTTACCTAAAATAAAAATAAATATATAAATATACATTCTATTTAAAAATGTATAAATACTAACCAAGTGTTCCTGATATAATATCCATTTTATGGAGAACATGATCACGTTCGCCAACTCCCGCTCCATTATGACCATATAATCCAACAGCATGTACTTCATCAATAAATGTTATTGAACCATATTCATGTGCGACATCAAGCATTGTTTCCAAATCACATATTGAACCTATTTAATAAAATTGAAATATTTTTAACAGAAAAAAAAAACAAAACAAACTTGCATACCATCCATTGAGTGAACTGTTTCAAAAGCAACAATTTTTGGTATATGACGTGGGATTTTTTTTAGTAATTCTTCCAAATGATTTACATCATTATGTCGAAATACATGTTTAGGTACTTGACTATTTCGAATACCTTGTATCATTGATGCATGATTACCACTATCCGATAAAATATGGCACTGAGGTAATGATTTAGCTAACGTAAACAATGCTGTATCATTTGCAACGTAACATGATGTGAATAAAAGTGCAGATTCCTTTTGATGAAGACGTGCTAATTGTTCTTCAAGTTTTTCATGTAATGGACTTGTACCTGATATATTACGTGTACCACCTGAACCAGATCCATGTGCTGTTACTGCATCACTAATAAGAATATTTAAAAAAATGAATGAATCTTATTTGAAACAAAAAATAATTTTTATTTGAATTAAAAACAAAAACAAATCCTTTAAAATCATGTAAATGAGATTGGGAATTCATGAGTCAAGCTGGGAACTCTAAATAAACCTTCAATGATGAATAGTCTTTTTTGTTTTCGTACTATTAGGTTTTCTCAATACATAAAAAAACCAGGTCGGCATAAATTGAAGCAATAAAATCTTTATTTAATTACTTACATGACTGCCTTTCTTAATTTTGGATGTTGACCTAAACCAAGATAATCATTGCTACACCAAACAGTTATTGTACGTGATTCTAAATCATCGTGTAAGTGTTTTTTTTCTTCAGCTTGAGGAAAACAACCACTTTTACGTTGTACACGTTTGAAAACTCGATAAGAATTATCAAGTCTTTTTGCTTCAATTTTTGCATCAAAAAAAGCATCGTATTCAAATGGATTTGCATTATCTATCTTTGGTAATGTTATTGGACGTGCAATTTTGTCAGCATTTAATTTCCGATTAACTTCAATTGTATCTTGATCTATATTAACACGTCGAAATGCAATTGGTGTTGCTTTTAAAAATGGACATAAAAGATCTTCACATTCAGCCGAAATAATAACTTTAAATAAAAACAAAAAAAAAACAAGAAATTTTAATTTGTTTTTTTTTTGTTCGTCTTACTTTCACCATATGGAGTTGGTATTTTTGTATTCATTAATGTGTTAACATTTGATATGGTTGGTTTAACTTTTGATGATAAATATTGATGATTTTTTTGTTCGAGCATTTTTTCATGAACAGCCTTTATTTCATTTAAACTAAGTGGACGAGACATTGATGATGAAACATTTGTTGATGATAAATTACTAGCGTTATGAATATTTGATGTTGATATTTTTCGAGTAAAATTACTGAATATTGGACATGATTCAACACCAGTACTAAGAATATGTGGAGCTGAAGCTCGAACTTGTTGGAAAGTTAATTGAGATAAAAATGGACATTTAAGAATGGGCATTGCCATGTTTTGTTTGATTTGTTTTTTCGTATATTATACGATTCAAATGAAGCGAATTGTTATGCTTATAAGCAAACGTTAATCTATAAAATATTAATAAAAAGAATGTGTATGCACTTCCTATGAGAACAAATTCCAGATGAAAGGGGTTTTTATCAGAAGTCAGACATGTTTTTTCTTTTTCTATAGAAGAATATTTTTCGTTTTGTAGTATAGCCTAAGGAAGAGATTTTCAAGGTAATAATGTACAAAAATGGATCTTAGTTAAGAAGAAAAAACAATCTTAGTAAAAAAAATCTTAAAAAAGCTTCTAAAACACAAGAAGAGTAATACTGATCCTATTGCAAGGTGTCTAGAATAGACAATGACAAAAAAAACAGAATAATGGTGGATCAAAATGACTAAACTTAGCTGAATCATTCATGTGAAGCAACGTATTTTTGGGCTTTGCATATGTTGTCACCGCATCAATATGTAGGTTTTCTTTTCTAATAACCCTTACCCGTATTCGTTTTCTAGTTTGTATCAAGTGTGTTACATGTATATGTACTGTTTCCAAGACTGAATTAGAAGAAAAAAAGAAAAAAAGATGTGTCTGTTTATATATGCGTAAATCATATTTCTAAAGGAGCTTACAAGGGAAATGAGAATGAAGTAACTTGTCAACATGCAACTGATTAGGAATATTTCTGATTTCATAAAAACAATGTCATACTGTTCCTCCTTTATCTCTTCTAGATAACAAAAAAAAACGACATAAACCGACAATACAGATTGTCTTCAAGAAGGTTATTTATATATATATTCCAGGGAAAAAAAACAACAGAAACCGACAATACAGATTGTTGTCAAGAAGGTTACATATATGGGAATGCCCAATATGATTGGATAGCCCAATTCCTTTTTTGTATCATACTGCTTCTATAATATATCAGAAAGCTATGATTTTTTTTTATCAGTAATAGCACTCATGCAGTACAAATGAACTGTTATTGTTTGGGTGATATATCTTATATGAAACTGAAATAATCAAATGCTTTCGTAAAATATTTCAAATAGCAAGAAAGATTTGTAGTGAATAAATAAATTTGATAAAAATAATTTAAGCAAAAGATTTTTACAAAGACGTTTGATTATTCTGGTTTCGTATAAGATATATAACCAAAATAATAACAGCTCATTAATACTATATGAGCACTATTACTGATAAAAACAAAAATTATATTTTTCTGATATATTATACAAGTAGTGTGACACAAAAACGAATTAGGGCATCCGACCAGACTGTGTATTTCCATATATATATTCCAGGTTCTGCATGTGTAAAACCAAGGTTGTCACATAAGATTATTTATAGAACAAACCAGAAGAAAGAAAAAGAAAAGAAAACCGACATGATAGGAATTTCAACAAATATTTCATATGCAAAGAAAAGGTCAAAGTCGTTTTCTGTGAATTGCAAGTAAATATAGATGGGAAATAATGCACAAACGTGACGTACTCATATACGCAATATATATTCTTAAAATTTTGTTGCGTACAAAAAGAAAAAAAAACGAACTAAGAAAATATTCATTTGAATATTCATATTTCTTCTATAGTAATATATAATAATCAAAATAAACTTTGTTTTCTTCAATGAAAAACAATAAATAAATAGTCAAATCATCAAAACAGATTAATTTAACTAACGAAGTATGATTGTTACAAAATGAATATAGATTTAAAAAAGTCACTATTGGTGAATAAAAATGATCCTACACGAAGAGAGAAAAATACCATAAAATGATAATAAGACATTGCTAAAATAAACATTGAGTTAGATGTCGTTCGTTGCTGGTTGATAAACTACCAATGTTATGAGAGCTAACATGACCGGTTAATATTCTTTACTAAATAAACGGAGGACGTATGAGCCGATATTTATTTTAACTTGTGCCTTTTTATCCACGCATCATAAAACTAAAAAAAAAGAAAAAGAACAATGTCTCATCAATCAGGAATTACGGGTTAATTGAACATAAAATCACTGATTTTTTTTTCTAATATAAAACTTGTATTTTTATTTAGCAACTGAATCATTACGAGAAAAATTTGCTGAAATGAAAGATGGACATATTAGAGTTGTTGTTGTTGTTATTGAAAATGGTTTGAATAATTTTATATATATATGTATATTTTTCTAAAGATATTTTTCTCATATAGAAAGTCTGGTAGAAAAAGCAGAACATAATGCTGAACGAACATTTAATGAAGGTTTAAAAAAAAATAGCTATCTTTTTTTTTCTATTTATTTATTTCAATAATTTTTCGTAGATTTTGATAAAATGATTCCACCATTAATTCACAAAACTCAACCTGCTTATTATTTTGTTCGTCTTGATACAATTAGTGAAATAAGTGGACATAATTGGTTATTAATTGTTTATATTCCAGAGGATGCTAAAGTATATTTTATTCAAAAAATTATTAAAATAATTAACATTTTTTTCTAAATTTAGGTTCGTGAACGAATGTTATATGCATCAACAGTAGCTACACTTAAACGAGAATTTGGTTTAACATATATTACTCAAGAAATTCGAGCATCATCAATGGTAAATATTTAAAAAAAAAACAAAATGAATTTTTTGTTTTGATTATTTTTGTTTTATCAGAATGAAATGACAATTCATTCATTTCATCAACATATTCGTAGTCAAGCAGCACCACCACCAAGAACAATGCGTGAAGAAGAAATGCTTGAAATACAACAACGAGAAGTTAGTTTTATAATAATTAGTAAATGTATATGAAAAAGCTTTTTTTTCATTTTAGGTTTCGGCTGATATTAGTATTGATTCTCGACATCAAACTTTACAAGGATTAACATTTCCTTTTGATGAAAATGTTGTTGAAGCTTTGCATTTATTTAAAAAACAAAATGTTGATTATGTACAATTGGTAAGGAAAAAAAAGATTCGAAATGAATTTATGAAAGAGTATAGTAAGATATAATTCTACTTGATTTCATGTCTTTTTTTTCAGGGAAAAAACAAATTGTAGAATTATAAGTTTCAAAAGTCATACAGAATTCGAATATTTTAAAAGTAAAATTAGCTTTGATTTATAAAATTCTGCCTATCGATAATAATGAACTTAGAATTAATACAAAAAACAAAAAAAATTTGAAATTTTCTTCTATCAATGTATATATTAGCATCTAAAGTGGGACTGCGCGGCAACAGTCAATTTCTATAGAGTACGTGGACATGACTTATTTTCTGTCAAAACTACTTTTTTTTTCATAGAAGTACTAATTTCCAATACTCAATAGAAAGATTGATGAAAAACAAAATTAAAATTCTTAAAAGAAGATTTTCCCTGTAAAATGTATGGGGAGTCTTTACCTACAATCCGGATCTAAAAATTTTGAAACCAACGAGCTCTACTTTGACCCTAAACTTTTGTGGGAAAAATTTTTATTTTCAGAATTAACAAAACACATTATTCGATGCAGCTTATAGTGTTGATTCCAAATATGACCTTATTTTTTTTTCTAAAAATGTTTCTGAGACAAAAGAATGCGGAAAACTTTTAAACACCGAAATTTTTTTTTAGAAAATCTGTATCTCAGCCTAGAAGCATTCATGCATCTTTATACTAACTGAGTAGACGTGTTAGACAAAGAAAAAACATTCTGTGAAAGTTTCATTGAGTTTGGAGTTGTGTTAAACTGTGCGTATCGACTACAATGAATATGATTTTTTTAGAAAAACTCTTACTGTAGATCGATGTTGTATTCGGATGCTTATTAATGAACTAGATAGAGAGAGCAGTGACATCTCAATTTAATACAATCATCAATGGATAAATTAAGTTGAAATTCTTGAAGTTATGGACAGTTTTCTATTGAAGAAGTTCTTGTGTATAAAACTGTTCATAACTTCAAGGATTTAAACTTAATTTATCAATTGATAAGTATATTAATTGACATAATCTATAAACTAGATCGAATTTTAATATCAGTTTCTCCTTCAATTCAAGTTTAGACGTAATCTCAGTTTGGATGCTAACATATATATCGAGATATTCTAAACTAACATAATTGGGTTTTTCATTCCATGTCGCACATTTGTTCGCACTACCGCTGGTACTTATAAGAACCGACAATAGATTGTCGGTCAAAGAATAACTCTCGGAATAATACCGCGGTTAGATCGATAGCCGATCATTTAAGTATCAAACTGCCGACAGCTTTTGTCTGATCCGAATCACATGGGACGCTACATATATTAATGAAATTCTAAAGAATTCTATTGAAAAAAATGATTTGTTGAATTAGTGAATAATAATAAATTTGAACGCTTATGTAGAATAATGAAGTTTACTAACATTATATTTTTATATTGAATCATTAAGATATTTTATTATATTTTCTTTTAGGAAATTGATCATGAACAAGAACGTATACTTTTAGCTCATTCAGAATCACATGCAACTCCTGAAAATATTCAAAAATGTTTACCAAACAATGCCGGACGATATCATATATATAGATTTAAACATGATTTTCGTGATGAAACATTAAGTTCTCTATGTATGTTATGATAAATATTTATCGATTCAAAATATAATATTATCTTTTAATTTTAGTCTTTCTTTATTCTGTACCTGGTCATGGTTCAAAAATAAAACAGCGTATGCTTTATGCTAGTTGTAAAGAAAGTGTTATTGATACGATTGAAAAAAAATTTGGTATTTCTTTTGATCGAAAAGTATGCATCGTTTATTATATAGTCTTCATAAATTTTTTTAAATATTTTTATTGAAGTTGGAACTTTGTGATATAAGTGATTTAACACATGATTATCTTTTTCAACAACTTCATCCAGAATCAATAGCAAGTACAGGTAAAACAGCATTTGCAAAACCAAAAGCTCCATCATCACGTGGTCCACGTCGTCTAGTCAAATCAAATGAAAATCCGGATGAATAAAAAATATCAAAGTTTTCTTATTCTGCTTTGCTTTTTTATGATTAGATTCAATTTTCTTTTTTTTTTCTTGATTTTGTGACATACTTCATCCAATTGCTCTTTTTTTTATAACCTATTGGCTAATTGATAAATGACTTTTTTCTTTCGACTATTCACTGCGTTATTGTTATCAAATATCAAAAAAAAAATGTAATAATACTTAATCGTTTTGTTAATCAATATATGACTAATACAATAAAAAATAATGAGTCGAATCAACTATTAAATAATTTAAGATGAAATTGTATTACGTCGGTAAATTTTGATTATTAGTAATCAAAAATACACGATATGAATCATTATTATTTACTCAGGTACCGTATGGAATCATCGGCAATTGACTCGTTCCTCTTTTTCTTTTCTTTTGATAATTATTCACAATAATAAAAAATAATTTTACTTCTTTCTTTTTTTATTAGAAAACATTGATTAAGTAACTTCATCTTTATCGTAAACAGTCTAATAAGCTGATTGAATATTCAATCATTTATGTGCATTAAGACCCATCTGTAATCAATATCTGATGAAAGAACAAAAAAGAAATGATTGTGCATTTATCATCTTATAGCAGATCCTAATATTCTCATATACAATAACAACATGAATATTTTCGACAATTATTACAAATCTTTTTTTTAAAAGATCATCATGGTCTGACAAAGAAAATACATAACGAGGTCATAAAAATGCTGAGCTATAACAATATATTTTTTTTGTTATTGACTCTTCCAAAGTCATTGTGATTGTTATTGAGATACAATTTGTCTGGTATCTTTTTTTTTGACGAAATGTACTTATTATGAGACAAGATGTACAATAACAATTAAAAAAAGAAAAACATCTTGACTACCGTATTTCGGATTTTTTTTTTCTCCTTTTTCTTTTTTATTTGGCTGTATCTTCGTTCTTGCTTACTATGTGCACACAAATGTTTATTACATGGTAAGATGAAAGGGAGAGATAGTTACAAATACGCGTACTTGTTCTTGTTCTATATGTATAAAGTAATACTAAGACATAGCACGTTTTCAATGTGATTCGGTTTGATGATGCTACCTTTCACATTTATCCGTTTGACAGCATTCATCATCGTTTGTTTGCTTCTTGTTTCTTTTTTTTGTGAGTAATATGTGTGTAAAAATATAACATGAATAATAGAAATTACAATTTTTTTTTTCTTTTGCTTTCTTTCGTCTTTTTTTTTTTTCTTTTTAATGGAATGAGAGTGCGTCGGCAGAGAAGTGTGTTTATTGATGAGAAGGAGTATATTAACAAAAAAAAAAAAAAAAAAGAAAAATAGTACTCGAAAGAGAAGAAAGTTCACCGAATTAGTGTATGATCATTCATTCCTGGTTCTTTTTTATTCTAGCCACAGTCAGAGCATATACACAAACGACTGGCTTATGAACAATGTTGTTTCGATTGTCACAACCGTATGATATACCAAAATCGACTATTGACTCGCAGTATAATACAACAACAACAGATTATTTGTCATCGTCATATACGAAATTAGGACAATCAACACCTGAATCGGATTTTTATGGTGGTCATCATAGTGATTCACCTACGAAGCCAAGATCTCGTCAACATCAATTACCTCGACAACGTAATAATTATTTAACTGACTCACCTTCAGATACTTCAAATACTCAATATTCTCGACCGCGACGACAACAACAACAGCAATCAATATATCCAACAAATAGTCCACAACGACCAATAGTAAATTTTCTTTTACCGTAAGTTAATCTCTTCTTGTAGGCTAAATTGTTTCTCAAGAGATTAAAGAGAATGCTGATAAATAGATTCCTTACAAATCGGATGTTTCTATTTTGCTATATTTACTTTAATGTAGAACTCTAACTGCGCACAACCGGAAAAAAACATCGTCTTTTTCTTTTGTATATACAAGAATATACAGATATACATCTAAGAGAATAGAGGAAAAGAAAATCATCAATGCATCTACTGACATATCCAAATGGGGTATTGACGTTACAGACTTATCATGAAAGTAATCGAACAACTGTTCTTAGCAAAGACAGAAAAGGACCTTGTTTTAAAGAAAATCATTTCTGAAAAAAAATCCTTTTTGGACATTATTAATATTAAATATAATATCGAAAAAATGCGAATAATAATACATAATCTTATATAAATGACATTAATTTTTTTGCATAAATGACTCGAATAATTCTAGACCTTGTTCTTATAGTTATCCTAACCATAAAAACAAGGACAAATGTACAATAAAAAGAAAAGAACTCAACGTTACAGTTGACTTAGAAAATATCTAGAAAAGTGATATCAGTCTCATTCTTCTTTTTGTCATAAGATTTCATTGGACATGCTCTCGTGAATGTATGGTGATAATTCGTACTCTTCCTACGATTAATTGCCATTTGTACATGTATTTTCTTTTTTTCTCCTCAGTCTTTCTTTACGTCTTACTTCTTTTGCAGAATTACACCCACTAATATAGGTCTAGTCCTTCTTTCTATTCTGTCTATCTTTGTCTCTTGTCGCTTGTTCGTATTTTACCAAAAAGGCTGATAAGGTCATTGTTAGTAGCAAGCCAAATGCAATATATCTATCTCTTTACATCTATCTTACAGCATAACAGCAATCAATTGTTTTCTTCTTTCTTTTTTCACAACAAATAAACGATATATATAGTCAAACAATTATCAAATTTTATCATTCATGACTTCGATTAGGTATGAACATGATATATATATCATCTATAGACAATAGGTAACGAAATACTACACAATAATAGTAAAGTAAAAGTGAAATATAATCGATTCCGCCCGCATATTTGATCTATTTGAACGAATATATGACATACGTATAGAAAGAGAAAAAGTAAACTGAACAAATTGTTCTCTCTTTCTTTTTTTTTGCCGAAGAGTCAACCGAAGTAATGATGAAATCTTTCGTTGTCATTTCGGTTGCGTTCGTCTTACGCAAGTGTTACAAGCAAACTGAATGTTATGAGCTTTTCACCTATGATGATCGATCTTCGTAGTTATTCTCCTTTTCGTTTGCTTCTGTTCGCTTGCAATACTCTTTTCTTTTTGCTTTCGAATCAATCATGAAAAGTATCTTTTTTATATGTCAATGGGTCTAATGCAGACTCTTCTCTTATTTCTTTTTCTCATACATATATTTCTTCATGTTATGTACACTTCATTGTGTCGTTATAGTAAGCTCGAAAAAAAAAACAGGACGTCCGTCATGTTCGTTAACGTTTTTTTCCTGTGCGCTGCTTGCTAATTCTCCCATCGATATATCCACGTTATTACTCAAGATAAAAAAATTTCGAATTTACTTTTTTCTTTCATATATTTGCTAAAAATCAAGGTGACAAAATATATTTGATGATAATGATGACTATTTGCTACTTGATTTATTTTTTTCTTGATAGACAGATAACGATCTATAAGCGTATATTTTTCTATATAAATATGTCATTTTTTCGATTCAATTCGATCATTTTCCTCAAAAATCGAAATTAATGGCATCTGGTCGAATTTCGTTTCAAAATAAATATCGAGCTGCAGCAGCAGAACGTTATAAACGACGTTATTATGATGCACAACGATCACATTCTAATGATGATCTATTAGCCGAGTAAGAAACAAAATAAAATAAACGGTATTTTTTTTTATTAGCAGATATGAATCTTATTATTTTTGTAAAATATACTTGTGAAAATATAAGGCATTTTTATTTGTAATTTTATTACGTGACAAATGAAAGAGAAAAATGATATTATATCTTTTGATTAACTTGTCTGCCTTTTTATTTCCAAATCTTACCTTGATTCATAATATGTTCTTCGTTCTGTCCAAAATGAAAAAATTCGGGGAAAAAAAACCGATGAACATAAACGATAACACATAATTGAAAAGAAAATTATTGCTATTCACACAGTATGTTTATTTTTATTGATTTTTAAGTGTACATAAAAATATATTATTGATATATCCATGTAATGCTTTCAATAGAAAGAACTATGTATATTTAAATAATTGGAGATTAATATTAGGAAAATAACGTTAATATTTATCTAAATTAGTTACACTTCAGCGGTTCTTTTTTTTTATGTGGATGAAAAATAAGACAAGACATTCTTTACTTTTTCTTTCTCCTTCACATTTTTGCTTGCGGTTTTACTTTGAGGCCAGTAAAAAAAAGAGAATGCGTTGTCACGTCGCTGGTGTGCTGCTTCATCAAGTATCCTTTCGTATGTTTGCTCGCTTTCGTATTTGTTGAGGAGAGTACATACATGAGAAAAGATGTTTGAAGAGAAGAAATATAGAAAAAAAAATCGAGAGAATGAAAGAAAGAAAAAAAAGAAGACGAATGAAATACGATTTTCTGTTGTTGAAATAAAAAAGCATTATCTGGACAGTTCATTTCTTCTCTTCTTTTTTTTTGCTTGCATCGTCGTATTTATTCTTTCGTACATTATACTTCGTTGATGTCTACGATTATTTCAAAGATACTTCGCACTGATTACATAGACATTGACAATGACGATAAAAGCAAAAATTGTTCACGCCTATGTTCTTATTGAATAACTTTTTTCATCTTTTCAAACTTACTATCTTCCTTTACTCTTTCTTTACATTTCATACGAAAGAACATATCTAATACATCACATTTATTCGTCTTACAGCTTCGAGTACATTGAATTATCATAAAGAGAATAAAGACGTGTACATAAGAGAACAAGTACAAACGATGATTACCTTTCAAAATTCTGATATTGACTCAATTGGTCTCTCGGATTATTATTCACGCACATTGGGTAGTAGCAGGTAAAAATAAACATTGAGTACAACAGAAAAGAAAATGTTATTAAAAAAATTTGCCTTAAGGAAATAAACTAATGTTTCTTCAAATATAGTATTATTTATTAAATAATTTTTCACATTCAATGTAAAAAAAATAGATTTATTAATCATCGTATTAAACATTAACGATTTTATAAATAATATAAAAAACATATTTATATATTCGTTTTCTGTTTTTTCGCTCTACTCCATATTATTATTTATTGCTGTAAATATATTTAATGTTTTTTTAAAGGCTAAAAAATGGCGAAACAAATGGTAATGCACATCAACGTACACGTCATCCGAATTGGTCTAGTTTAGGTAGTCTTAATAGTTTTGGTGATTCAACAACAACTCCATCATCATCACAAGGACATACAGGTAGTGGAGGAAGTAATACTGGTGGTAGTGGTACTAGTGCACAAAAACGTGAAACATTACATAGTCGATTTGACTTTAAACAAACATTAGGTAAAGGTACATATGGTAAAGTAAAATTGGCATTAGATAAACGTAAAAATGAACAAGTAGCAATAAAAACAATAAAAAAATCCCGTATTGAAAATCCACATGATTTAGCAAGAATTCGACGTGAAATTGATTTTATGACGAGTCTTAATCATCCATATATTATTAAAATAAAAGAAGGTATAATATAATTTTTTGTTTTGTTTTATATTTAAAAATTTCATTTATACAAAAATATTCATTGATAGTTTATGAAAGTCGAGAAAAAATTATTCTTGTTATGGAATATGCAAGTGGTGGTGAATTATATGATTATCTTAATCGTAAGAAACGTATACCAGAATCTCAAGCAAGAGCAATATTTCGACAAATTGTATCAGCTGTTCATTTTCTTCATAAAGTATATCAATAGATAAATTATTTTATTTTCAATAAAAAAAAAAAATTGATTTTTTCATTAAAATTATTATTTCTTTTAGAATCATATTGTTCACAGAGATCTCAAATTGGAAAATATTCTAATTGATCATAAAGGAGATATCAAAGTAAATAGAATTATTAACAAAAGAAAATATCGATTTAATCAATTATGTGTGTGTGTGTGTTTTTATTTGTTTGTAGTTGGCAGATTTTGGTCTAAGCAATAGCTGGTCACCTCGTCAATTATTGTATGTTACAGTTTATTTAAATGTGCAGATATATATGACTCTCTAGCTTTTAATCAGACACACTTTCTGTGGATCTCCACTCTACGCTTCACCAGAAATCGTCTCCGGTACACCATATCGTGGTCCCGAAGTATGCATTTCATTGTTTATTATTTCTTTGTAAATGAATATTTATGTTCAATATAGGTCGACTGTTGGTCATTAGGCGTTTTGCTATATACACTTGTTTTTGGTACGATGCCATTTCAAGGTGGCGATTATAATCGACTAGTACGCAATATAACTACAGGAAATTTTATTCAACCTCGTGAACAATCAGGTAATCAAAGTTATTCTAAGAATAGTAAAAAGGATAGAGTTATCGATAAAAAGAAAGATATAGATATAGATCCCAAAGGCCCTTTATTTTACTTCGTAGAAAAAAAACTTTTTTCTTTTTACAAAACTTTTTAAAAATCGAAAAACACCTATAGGCGCGCTCGATCTTATACGTAAATGTCTTACGGTATCACCATCAAAACGTTTTAATATTGACAATATTACTGTTCATGAATGGATTAATGTTGGTTATGATCGCCTACCTATGCATTATTATCTTCCTTCAACAATGCAAAAAAATAATAATATGTTACCATCTCAACCAACATCATCAAAACCCAAGGAAACACCAAAAACAACACCAATGAAGTCTAAAACCAGATCAAAATCTATTCAAGCATCTGTTCCTAGATCTACTTATCCTCCTCCTCCTCCTCCCTCTCTTCCTCCTCCTGTTGATCCCCCTTCAGTTACTGTACCTCGACCATTATTGAAAAATGAACGAATATCAAATGCTGGATCAAAATTAAAACCATTGACAAATGGAAATCATCAAATAAGCCAATTTAATCGATTAAAAGACAATAAAACAATAAAAAATAATAAAAATCAACCACAAAAATTTAATCAATTAAATAAATTAACATATAATTATAAACCAAATGGTAGTCTATCATCGTTAACATCATCATTTAAACCTCCTCCAATACATACGGTGAAATATTAGAAAAAAGAAAAAAAAATTAGAAATAGCTTTTGTTTTTTTTTTTTATTTTCTTCTTTTCTTTAGTCTCTTTTATTATATTAATTTTTTTCTTTGCCGGGATCTTAAAAAAAACTAATCTAATCCTATGCTTGAGCATGTTATATACATAAGTGAATATTTGGTGGTGGACTAAAACAAAAAGAATTTCGTATGCTTTTTTTTTTTTTTACTTTATTTCATTAATATCATAGGTGCTCTTTCACTTATACGATATTGCTTGACACCTGATGCTAATAATCGTGCTACAACAAAAGATATTCTTCGTCATGAATGGTTAGCAAATGGACCTGTTCTTTCATTAAAACTTAATTCAATAACACCAACATCTATTCCACTTACAGATCAACAATCATATAAAGATTATGATAAAATTCCTTTACGTACAAATTTACCAACAACATACAATGAAAAATCGGTATCACCAACAAGTTCACTTGTTGATCTTGAACTTCATACAAGTTCATTTTTTGATACAACAAAAATACATGATAATAATTTATTAAAAACTACTGAACAACAACAACAATCACAACGACGTAATCGAGCATCAGTTGCATCTGATTCAACACGTTATTATTCATCAACATCTCGTCCTTCAGATCGACGACCATTGAGTTTATCACTTGATGATCAATATCCAAATAATCCTATAGATTATCATTTTACATCAACAAGTGAAAAACCATCATTATTATTAACACAACCACAACCATATATTCGTCGTTCTCGTCGAACTGTTTCACCAACATCAACAAAAACGACATCATCATATGGTAATAATGATCGAATGAGTTCTTCACCAATAAGTTATCGATATTCATTAGCAACATCATCTGATATAAAAAAACCACCATCACCTATTAGTCCATCAATTTATCCTGATTCATATGATTGTGATACAACATTACGTGATTTTAAACGTAAACCTATTTTTAAATATACACCACCAATAATATCATCAACAAATGATTTAAATGTTGTACCAAGTCTTTCAAATTCAACAACACCTGTTGCACCATCTGTATTTACAACATCAGCAATTAAATTTGCTCCAGCACCTATACGACGAATGAGTCCAACTAATGATCAAGAAAATAATATTAATAGTTCTTTATTGAGTACAGCACGATATTTAAATAATACAATATCTAATCCATCTTCTAACATTGATGATAGTATTAATACAGCTACTACTAATCATAATAATCGTCATGCATTATTAACTTCATATGAAACAAATAATTTACGAAAAAGTCGTTTATTAGACGATAACAATAATTTGATATCATTAAGGGTGCATGATTAATAATCTTTTATCTTTATTTTCTTTCTGTCTATCTCTCTATTTATCTCTATCTATCTATCTCTTGTTTTTTTTTTGTCCCAGTTTCAACTGTGATACTGTGTGACTTTCATTCACAAAGAAAGATAACAGTAGTAGACATTGATTTTTCTTGTCTGTACATCTACCCTTCTAATTGATCTCTTCCTCGTTTGTTTGTTTGTTTGTTTATTTGAATAAAAATTTTCATGTGTGTGCCCGTTTTCTTTTTACTTATTCAGGTTGTGTAAAACAAAAACGAAATATTGCTGATGTAACTTGCTGCTATGAAAATATTTATATGTATGCGTGCGTGTGTGTTATGTTTTAAAAGTTCGATTTTCTTTTTTTTTTGTCTTTTGTATCATAAAAAGAAAGAGTGAAAGTATAAACCTTGAAAGAAAAAATAATAAAAGAATTGGCTCATATTGTGTGTCTGAGTTTATTACATTAACATCAAGGTTAACTTTATTATTTAAAGAAAAAAAAAAAGAAAAAAATTCATTTCAAGGAGATATGATTTATTTACTAGTAGATGCTAATTTACTGGCAGCAGCTTTTGTATCATCAGCATAGCGAGCTAGACGAAAATAACTTAAACGTTCCTGAAAAAAAATCAAAAAAAATATTGAAATATTGTTTTTTCTTTTGGAATTTTTATTTACCGGATCGATATCAACTATAGTATCAGATACATCATCAAGTTCATCTTTAATTAATATTTCATTCGTCTATGTAAATATTAAAAAAATCAGATATTATTCTTTTTCTTTTCCTTTTTTTTTACTTCATTCAATGATGGTAAACAGTTCGGTCGACTGAGGCCAAACATAATCTGATAAAGTTCAACAAGGTCATTTCGAATTTGATTATCGTATGCAAAATTTCTAAAAAATTTTTAAATGAATATTATTGTTTTTATTTCGATTTTATTTTTTCATACTTTATCAATGACCATAATCGATGAACTGTTATTGGATTATTAAGAGAACATGTTTGATTTTGTCGAAATGGTGGATGATGACATAAATGTTGAATAATTTTATGTCTAAAAAAAATTTTCAAAAAAGGGATAAAACAAAGCATCGAAATTCTAACAAACCTTAAATTATAATCAGGATCATTTGTAATAAGATTGAATATATATTCAAATACATCTTGATTCATTCGAACTAAAAATAAAAATAATTCTCGTTCAGATACTACTTCCTATGAGCGTGCGGTAATTGAGTTGAATACTTGACCCGAATGTAAACTCACTGAATCGGTTTGAGTTCCGAGAATGATCGCATATCTGGACCTGATCTGGCAATTAATGAGATCTTCACATTTCAAACTGCTAATTTATATAAAAGCATAGGAGTGGAACCTTGAACAATTCATTGTACTTGAGAACAAGTCACAGAAGTGAAAAGTTATATTGTTTTTATTAAATGAGTTCATTTTTAATCAAAAAGAGCTGAACATGTATTATCATAAGGCAAACGTATACTTCGCAAAATTCATTGTATTTTTAAAAGCAGAAAGACACCGAGTGAATCCTGAAACTAAATAGTACAGTTTTTCATATAAAATGAAAGTTTGAAAACTGTACTATAACAGTGTCTGTTGAGTGTTGATTAGCACCGATTGCAAAAAGTTGCACTTGCCTCGGACATTTGTTCTTATCAGTGATTGTCATCAAGGTAAGGTTAAATATAGTTTGCCCTGTTAACGGTTTTTTGACAAAAGGTCATCTGAAAATCTTTTCTGTATGTAGACATGAGTCGTTTGGAATATGTGTTGTCTATGTAATTTCATTAGAACTTATGAATTTTGATACTCATTCGGATTTATTATCGTTTAATACGAACTTTTTCGATTGCGTGAAAGTTCAACACCTCTTATCACACAAAAGATCACGTCTAACAAATGATAAAAAAAAAATCAATCTTGACCTATTGTTAAATGGTGATCAAAGTATCCGATTCAATTAAATGATGATATTCAATCATAAAGATTCAACTCTTTTTTCATTGAGAGATATTTTAGTTTTGTATGCATAAAACAGTAAAATAATTGGATTAAAAAACGATTATTTTTCGTCAAAAAAAAAATTTAAAATAACATTAAACATTCTTTCTCATCAATTAAACAGATTTGAAGAAAGCATAAATTTAAGATCAGATAACAATAGTACCATTTTAATTGATGTCAAACAGATTTATGGTTGGTTTTTTTTTACATAGATAATATTCTTTTGAAATGATGTAAAAAAGATATAAGCACTGAACATAATAAAACGGTTAGAATTTTTCATTAGATTATCAATCCATTCTATAGTCGAGTTTAATTTATATGTTCGATCCTGAGAGCAGGACATGGTGAAAAAAATTGTCCTGTAACGATTTCTGCTTTCTATATCCACTCACTATCAACTATAATTACGCAGTAAACAGAAGCATAAAAGTGAAGAGTTACTTCAAAGTCTACAGTTATATTATGATTTGTATATTTTAAGACAAAATTTTGATCTGTGATGAACTAGCTTCTATCATATTGAGTTGTTGTCTGAAAGCTATCTATTAAATATTGGTTCTTTTTGATTGTAAAAATAACCATATGAATTTGTTTTTATGATCAATAGATATATGCGATTATTTGTATTTAAACTTTATTACAATAGTCACAATGAGTCCTGCTATCTGGTAAAAGGTACATGAACTTCAATCCTTTTGCTGGATATTTTGATTACAAATAGAATTTGATAAACTCTGATCGTAAGCAGCAATCTGAGATTGATAGGCGGGTATGGATCATGAGATTTATTTTTTAAGTTGACATATCCTAATCAGAGTTTAGTATTTTAATTTAATGAATAAGCAATTTTATCTTTTATTATATATATATCTTACTTTCAATTTGCTCAACAAGAATTTCACAAGCTATTAATCGTACACGATCAAACATTCCATATGATGCATATTCATAAAAAACATTAATATCAATAGGTATACCACTAATAATATTTAATTTATGTAAAACTCTTAAACAACTACATGTAACACAAAATCCATATGATGGAATAATTTTATCATAATTAAGTTGTAATAATATCTCATCAAATATTCGTTTTGTATTAGTATCTAATGTATGATTTAATAAAAGATCAACATTTGTTGTTGTACTTGTTAAACCAATATTTGTTAATGTATTACTAAGTGAATCAATTAATGATGAACGATAGAAAGCATCAGAAAAGCGATTTTTAGAATTCTCATTATAATGTATTAATTCAAATAGAAAATTAATTACTTCTGGTGGACATACACGATCTTTATTACGTTGTAATGCTATAGCTTGTGGAATTGTTTTTTGTATCATATACATTTGTGAATTTGAAAAATCATTTATACGTACAATATTTGCTGATGGTACTGTTAATGATAAATTATTTGTTGAAGATGTTGTTACATTTGTTGATGATAATGTTGAATTTGTTGACATAAATACACGACGAAAAAAACTTAATGTTGCTAATGTACCTGTCCATGTATTTGCCATAGAATTTGCAATCTAAATAAATGTTCAAATAGATTTTTGTAAGATGAAAAATAAAAATCATATATCAAATAGGTCATTGGATCTACAGTTAGAAATTAGAAAATAGATGAGAAAAAAAAACAGATGACTCTTTGCTATCTAAGTACTATCGAATTAGATAAAGGAAGTAGATTGTAACAAACTTTTTTTGATAAGATATTGGATGCAAATATTGATTTATAGGAATAATATTTAAAATAAATATCGAACAGTACTAACACCTGTTACGTCAATTTGATCAATTCGTAGTTAGTACTATGAAAAATAATTTTTTTAGAATAATTTTATTATCTTAATGCTAAACACTTTGTTAGAACTAATAGATAATCAAAAAAGCATTCTGCAGCCGTTTTTAAAGAATTTCTCATCGACAAACGATAGAAATCTGCAGCTTTTGTTATGACCTTCCATCTAGGAATGGATAATTTGGAATCGAAATAAAAAACCAATGATAACATACTATAAAAAGAAAATGAAAACTAACGACTTCTGCACGATCCAGGAAATAAGAGAACTGATATCAATCCCGAAATAGCTGCCTTTGTAAGTGTCTAATTATATATCATTTCCTGAAATGTCTCATTTTTCAAAAAAATAATTGATGATGAGTAGATTTCGAGTTTTATACAGATAAAATAACTGCGTAAAAAAATCAAATTAGTGATAAAGGCAAATGCGTCATTGATTGTCGATTCTGCATCTTCACAAATGTAACCATATCAACATCATAATCAGTACTATGGAATACAGAATTAATAGGATATCACGAATGACCAAAAAAGAATCAATTAAAAATACTAAACGAAAATATACAGAATAATATATCGTGATTTTTAAAATGTATTCAGAAGTTAAATTTCGTATGGTATTAATATAATGAAAAATTATTAATCCTATCAGCTTTTGAATATGTTTACTCATTTGTTCTTGCTCTATTCTAGAACATTTATGCTGAATAGATCTATGCTATATTATCATGAGACGCCTCATATACTGTAAACTCATTTTAATATAAAATAAAGCGAATAATTTGTTTGATTATCTTTTCTATCGAAGAGAAAATTATTAATCGAGTTTTTGTATGATATAATAGAATAAATAAAATTCATACATGAGTAAGAACATATGCACATTCAATTCGAACACGATAAAAACAATTTGATGAATCTAAAACAGTGCCAAGTGTTTCTCGAGTATTTTGACTTGGATATCGTTTAAGTGCTTCAAGTGCTTCAAACTGTGAAAGAATATCACGTTCATAACGTAATTCACATTGCCAATTATAATCAGCTTGTTCAAATTGTAGTTCACGAATAACTTTTAAATCAGGATCAATTCTTATCCATAATATTGGACATTCAGGACTAAAAAAACAAAAACAAAAAACAAAATAAAAATTGTCT